TAGTAAATCGAGCTAAGCAAGCTCAGTGTACCCACAATTGCACGAAGCTCGTACGTTGAGCTTTCCCAAGGCGACACGTACATCTTCGGTGGGGGCCCAGGCGGGGGGGGGGGAATGTGTTTTCTTCGGGTCCCTTCGTAGAAATATGGAGGCCGTGTGATTAGCAACAGTAGCTCATTCTTCTGATTTTTCAAGCAGACTGCATACTGCTTGGCAGTGTAGCGATCTGCTGACACAGCTGCGCAGCCAGCAGCTCTTCATATCTGGAGCCAGAGCTCTGGGGTTCGGCTGTCAGGTAGGTTATCATACCAGCCGTGCGGCCCATAAATTCTGGGCTTCGTCGATTAATCCGAAGGGTGCTGCACACTTTGTAGACGTCGTGCCGGCACACCGGTGCTTAACCTGAAGCCAACGATGAACTGCAAACCCTGTTACCTGCATCAACCCTTCATCTCCATGCACTTCAAAGGCAGCAGTGTTTGCCACCTTGATAGGGGATGCCCCTAAACCCTAAACCCTAAACCCTAAACCCTAAACCCTGAGCCCTAAGCCCTAAGCCCTAACCCTAAATCTTTGCTCTGCCTGCCATCTTGGCAACCAGCAGCCAAGAAGCTGGCCCCTTCGGAGCAAAGCTATGCACAAGTTCCTTCCAAATAGTGTGGTTGATCTTCAAGCGATTATGCTATAGTCGGCTATAGTGCTTTCGTGACTCCAATTACCTAGCTCTCAAGCCTGGCCTGTCTGACATCGAAATACACCCGTTAGTGCGTGCTCAATTGTCAATTGAAATCCCTACGCTGCAGCTTCTCCGAGACACCTGGGCTTCCTTGTCTGCAAGGAAGCTGCACAGCGATGTGCCTATTTTTGTGGCGCCTTGGCTTCCTTTCCATCAGCTGCCCGCTTGCGATCATCGGATGAAGCCTTGTCCATGAGGTCGCGTGCCTGTCCAGGCCGTGCTTCTTGTTGGTTGTTGCAGTTGTTGCGCTTGTTGTGTTTGTTGCGGTTGTTGTAGCGGTGTAGCGGCTGTTGCTGCTGCTGTTGCTGCTGTTTCTGTGGTTGCTGGCTGCTGTTGCTGCTGTTGCTGCTGCTGCTGCTGCTGCTGCTGCTGCTGTTGCTGCTGCTGCTGCTGCTGCTGCTGCTGCTGTTCTGTCGTCGTTGTTGGTTGTTGGTTGTTGGCTGTTGGCTGGTGGTTGCGAGTTGTGTGTTGCGAGTTGTATGCTGGAAGTTGTGTGCTATGAGTTGTGTTGGCCGCGCGTTGTTGCTCGTGTGGTGCTGGTTGGTTGGCTGGCCGCTGGCTGGCTGGTTGGTTGCTTGGTGGGTGGGTCGGGTCGGTTTTGGGTTTTGGGTTTTGGGTTTTGGGTTTTGGGTTTTGGGTTTTGGTTTGGGTTTTGGGTTGGTTGGTCATTTGTTTGGTTGTGAATGTGACTGTGGTTGTTGTTGTTGTTGTTGCTGCTGCTGCTGCTGCTGCTTCCGTCTCTTCGCTGAAAGGACAGCCTGCAACAGACCGTGGGGCATCGGCTGCCTGCTCCTACAATGAAACACTAACTCTCTGGTCGAGAAGCCTGCTGGGCATCGCTTAGCCACGCCGCCAGTTCTGAGGAACCCGCCATCTCACATCTCCCTACCAACCTGGTCAGGGTCAAAAGGAATTGAAAGGCCTACAGAGCTGTAGGTTTTCATGATTTCGGACGCGGCCCCAGTGCTGCACAGGCCCTTTGTCTTGGCTGCAGGGACTTTGAGGATGCACCCAAGAAACTCCGGAAACAACAGAAGTCAACATCGCACAAAGGCTCAGGCCTCTCGATGTGACGGACGTTGGCCTCCACGCGATTCCACGTGGATGTTTCGTTGGGCATGGGGCAAACATGCAACAACAGAGGCTTGTGAAAAGACGAACGCTAGTCACGAGTTACCGAGATGATGCCGCTGACGACGCAGAAGGAGGTGCCAGACGGGCAAAGACGCGCAAGCAGTCCCGTTAGGCCTTATCAGCTTCTGGGAGTGTCTGCCACCAAAGCATGAGGTTGCGAAGGGCGGCGACCACGGCACCATAGCGCTCCAGCTTCATATCCACGCCGCGGAACTCTTGCCAAGATGCGAGCGCCGCGGAGATGGAAACGACGATGGGGGTCCAAGCTGTCTGATCTGCAGCTGCAAGTACCGCTGTGGCGCTCGTCGCGGCCATGAACAAGAGTTGCATGAGCATCCGGGTGCGCCGGACCTTTGGGATTCGCTGCCCATAGAAGTTACGCAGGGGGGTCAGCCTCCAAATGATGTACTCCTCCGGACTGGCTGGTGCATGATGACTGTCTCGCTCGGCGTTGGGCCTTACCTCCTCTGCAGAGCCGGAAAGCTCGGGGTACTGCTTGTGGCGCTGATGTGCTGCTGTCAACTTGTTTGCACGGAGCCGCTCGTTCATCATCTGGATCTTGTCATTGTTCTTCTCGCCGTCGACGCGGATGCAGACCTCGTCAGTGGTCAGATTGTTCGCGAAGTGGTCCTTGCTTGTCCGGTTATCCAAGGGAACTTATGAATGAAGGCTGACTTTATGGATTCCACAGCCCCCCAAAAAGGCTAACCTGTGAATGTCATTCTTAAGAAAAAACCGATAAAACCGCCGCAGCCCCCAAACCCTGGCCGCCCTAGCCCCCCATCCTTCCCCGCCCCCATCGCTCCCGAGCACCAAGGGTCCTTTGGACCCAGGGCCGCGTCGGCGATCGCGAAGATCTTGTCGCGAAAGCGCTCTTCAGCCTAGCAAAGAAAAGGATCGAACATGCGGAGGGGGGAGGGGAGCCGGGGTTTAGGGTTTATCCGGGGAGCTAAGCTCTGCATGCTTCAGTTTAGGGTTTATTTAGGGTGTGGTTTGGGGCCTCGGGTCTGGGTTTAGGCCAACGTCTGCGGGTGGTTGAATCTATTGTCTGTGTCTCTTTTGTGGTATTGTGAGAAGAGTGGGGAATTTCAAAGGGCCCCTTAATAAACATCAACCGATCATACCAAAGATTTTGGCCCACCCTGCGCCTGCTGTTGATGGAAGCTGTTCTGTTATCGCCACGGTTTTAGGGCACACAGTTGAGGGTTTCGGGCTGCAACCCAATAACCTAACTTGTGAGAGGAACTTCTCAAATGTCAAACATGATTGACTGCTGCACCAGGATTTCGGGCTCTTGTCTTGCGTTCGCTTTTGGCAATCAGGGCAAGGTATCAGTGGGGCTTTGTAGGGTTCAAGGCTTCAGGGTACAGGCTTCAGGGTATCTTCGTCGGCCTGTCTCTCGCCCTCATCGGATCCCACGCTGATGTGTGTGAAGTCTGCTCTTCCATACTCGCCAACGCGAGTCCTTGCAGGGTCAGCTGTGGATCACTACATGGCCAGGAGGTTCGAGGACCGGACAGCTGAACATGTTGCGGAGTCGTAGAGTCGAAGACACGTGCATTTAACTTAGCTTGCGCTAACAACCCTGCAGGTAGAGGTCCTGAACATCCAAATCTCGGCTTGCAGTCTCTGGCTGGCGGTTCCTTCACGAAGTCTCCGGCACATTTTCTCTATGCCCAAAAACCAAGCCTTTGAAACCCTAAGCCCCACAAGTTAAACCTCAGACTCAAACCATAAGAAAGCCCTCGAGACTCAGAAAGTTTCGGGCATACCAGCCGCAGCGTATACTTCTCGAACTCTGTATCCGAGTGTTGGCCTCCTCTATCCTTGTTCAAGGCTGGGAGCAACCTTATGCTTCGACTGAAGAAGCCTTTAAGACCTTACATAAACTGACCTGCAAGAGCTGAAACGCCCCAAGGCATCCCCACCCCCGCAACCCTGAGACAGCGCCCATCAAGCAGCGAGGCGCTGAGCTTCATCCACTGCTTCCTGGAGGGCTTGGGGTTTAGGGTTTAGGGTTTAGGGTTTAGGGTTTAGGGTTTAGGGTTTAGGACTCTCAAGGCCTGGAAGCCCCATAAAAGAAATCAGGCCAATCGTAGGGTTATGCAGGTTTGGGCCCATAGAACATTTAACACAGATCCCAAAAACCAACTCGACACCCCGAGTCCTTTTGCATACAAAGGCCTATGAGACTGCCGGGAACCCTTCCTGGGTCCTCAAACCTGAAAGCCTAGAGCTCTACCCCTAAACCCTGTTTGAGAGATTGGTGTTGTTCCAAACCAACCCTTTACAAGCCTCAACCCGAACCCTAAACCCCAAACCCTATAAACCCTAAACCCAAACCTTCAAACCTACTTCAATTGAACATCGAAGCGTCGTCGGATCGGTGAAGGTGGTCCAAGCAGCCAGGCTGCTGGAGGCCAAGCCCAAACCTAAGACCGTGAACTTCTTCCCGTCCTTCAGGGGGGCTTAGGGTGTAGGGCAGTGTAGGGTGTAGGGTTGAGAAACTTCTTCCCATCCTTCCGGGGGCAGTGTAGGGCTTAGGGACGTTTCGCGCTTACGACTACGGAGCTTCTTCCCATCGTTCAGGGAGGTTAGGGGCTTAGGGTTGTTGGGGTTGCACGATGCTAGCCAGCGCCAACGGTGGAAGGCTATCATCGCATTGCTTCCAACTGGATTAACAGTCTGTAAATCGAGTTTGCGCATCACTGGTAGCTACGTTGGACACAAATCCCAGTGATGTGCCCTGTCCCCTCTGCTGTGGTTTCGGTTTCGTAAGGCATGCAAACTGCTGATGGGTGACCGCCAAGAATCGTCCAGCTCCGCAGCTAGTGTGTGTGCTGAAGCTTTGCATTCGGAGTGCTTTTCTGTGAGTGCACTGTTTGTAGCTGTTATACACATTCGCGGCACCTCCCTAGTGTGTGGTTTCCGTCTCGAAAAGCTTCTGCAGCTTCGCTGACCTGCATCTGCAGAAAACCGCAGCAGCACGTGCCTGGGACTGTCTCCAACGAAGCTAACGACCAGTGATGTGGGGAACCAGAGTTGGCCACTCCGGTGTACCCACAAAAGAAGTCACGTGATACAATCAAGTTGTGCACGGTGCCATGGTCGTGGTTGTGCACGAGTGCTCTGGTATTGGCTCAGTTGGGTGTTGTATCGCTCACAAGTCGAGCATGCATGATTGCTTTCACCTATCTTTCCATACCAGAACGCAACAAAAAGAGCGGGAGTTGACCACTTCGGCATGGGGGGTGGAGCGGGTACTTGAGTTCGTGGGTGCCATGAACATGCACAAGAGCTAATGCTTAGCTCCCACAGACAAGCAAGCTTCCTCAGAGAGGTCGGCTGTCCATGCAGAGGTCGTAACGAAGGTGATCAGAAAGCCCAGCAGAAGTAAGAATGCAAAGGAAAGCTTGGCCAGGATCTTCAGTCTCGTAGCCTTCTCATGGAAAACGTCTGCCAATGTCCAAGCACAGCGTAGAAGCAACAAGCCCTCCAGAGAGCTGTTGTCGGGGAGTCTGTCTGACCGCGAAAGCTTTTGGATTAGAATCTTCAGTCTGCGATGCTCACTAAGCCTCAGCTGCTTTCAGCACCACCTGCACAGTCTTCTTGTCGTGGCCCCTTACTAATCCCTAATATGCTTAAAAAAACCCTGATGCTCAAAAGCCTTCTGGAAGCCTGCAGCTGTAGACATCGGGTGACTTCAGGACTTCGTACGCGGCCAGCCAGAGCCTCTTATCGCTCTTGACTTCCCGTGGTCGCTTCTTCACGTTGTCGTACTCCTTCCTTACGGTTTAAGTAAGGGCACTCCCCTATAACCACCTCTACTCCGCTGCAAGCCTCGGCATAGAACGCCACGAGCCCTAAACAAGAGAATCAAAGGGCATCCTAGGTTCGCCTCGTCCAGCCAAGCGGAAAGCTTCTCTTTCAGCGCCGCGTGGGCGGTCTCATAGGGCATGCTCTTCACCAGCTCCACCCTGTTGAGCTTGACCTTGTAGAGGCCTGACGCTCTGGCGAAATTTTGGGGTTTCGTTTGCCACCTGCCCAGCTGACAGGTGACACACTGTCGCTTAAGGGGTATAGGGTCACGTCATCTTGCCGAGAGGTGTAGCTATGGCCACGGGGGCTTGTGGGCGAGCGGGGGGGGGGGGGGCGGTCATATAAAGTTCTGGGTGATTTCTTTTTTGGCGGGTTTAGGGATCTCGGGGTTTCGACTCTCAAGCTCGGACAGGGCTTCCTTGCTGTTGCCTTGGGGGTTTAGGAGTTAGGGGCATGTGACGCGGAGCCTTTGCTTTGGAAATCGCTCTGCATCTGGCTCGCGAAGAGCTGGATTCCGTTCACAGCCGCGGTGTCCCAGCCGTTGAAGACTGCATAGTAATGCAGCTTTCCCCACCTTTCAGGACAGCTTCTTACAAAAATTCGGGTTTACTTACGGTTGGGATGTTCCCCCATATACTAACAATCCAATCTTTCATAAGGACTATAATGGGGCGTACTATAATATCCCTACTAAGGACGGCTAGTAGCTGCCAGTATAAGGGGGAACATCCCAAGTGTACGGCTTGTTGCTATTTTGTGTGCTTCCTGCAAGAAGGAAGGTCGTTACATATGGGGGTACCCCCCTCCCTCAACCCTCAACCCTCAACCCTAAACCCTAAACCCTGGACCCTGAACCCTGTACCCTAAACCCTGAACCTTGAACCCTAAACCCTAAACCCTAAACCCTAAACCCTTTCTGAACCGAAGCCCGGGACCTCTTCGCCCACTCGGACTCGAGGTCGTCCCAGTCTTCACAGGAGCAGATCGCCGAAATCGCCTCTTCAAACTCGGAGGTGTTCTTCAACGACTCCTGAAGCCGCTAGGGAGGTGGACCCTATAGAGTATGAGGTTAGCAAAGTTAGTTAGTTAGGTAGGTAGGTAGTTAGTTAGATCGTTAGTTAGTTAGTTAATTAGTTAGTTAGTTATTTAGCTATGAGTTTCATGGATATTTTTTTTAAATACGGTATCAGCCAGCGGGGCTTCCGAAGTGCAGGCTTGGACGTCGGGAGCTGAAACAAAAGCTATGCCCCTGGTCCTGCCATGTTTGCCCCGCGACAAAGTCCATGAAGAAGTCCGTTGCCCGAAGGACCTTCTCATCTTCTGCGGAGAGCGCTTCGTGAATATCATCGTTCTGCAGTTTTGTGGGTGCACTGCTGTGATGTGCTTCAAGCATTGCCTTGACTATGGCTTCATGTAGCCAGAGCTCTCGGTCATTCCGCTGCTCCTTCTCCTTCTCCTTCTTGCGGATGCCTGCACGCACGCAGGCCAATGCAGAGCCGATGTGGGTGTCGTAGAGGCCCAGTTCGTTCAAAGCCTGTGCATGGACCCGCAGCTTCTCACACGACTGCTGAAAAGCATCGCTGACGTTGCTCTTCTCCTTCTCGTCCACATCCTCGATGATCATGTCCATCCTAGGCTCCCCTCAGAACCTTCCTGAAGACAGCATCCTTAAACAACTCCCTTCGACCCATCTTCTAAAGATGCGTGGTGCTTCGCCTAGCATAGACCCAAGAAGGCCCGAGTCTCTTATATAAACCCTTTTTGAAGCTGGACTTGCTGACTGCCAGACGCCCACCTTCTTGACGCGAAACCCTAAACCCTAAACCCTAAACCCTAAACCCTAAACCCCAAACCCTGGGCCCCTGACCCTTAGCCCTTAACCCGAGTCTCATGTCCACAGTTTCACGTGGGCCCGGGGACTCCGGAGACTCCGGCAGCTCGGGGATCGCTGCGTCGGCCCCTGGTGCCTCATCTCCGTCTTCTTTGGCTTCCTCCACCCAGCGACCTTAGGAAATGAATCCGACAAGGGCTTGTAGGGTCCTCGCACATACATACATATATATATATATACACATATATGTGTGTGTATGTATATGCACATAATTGGACATGTTTTCATAGACAGGTAATGGCATAGACAGATAAAGTGCGAGCGAATGAGAGAGAGGTATCAATATCTCAATATATATATATATATATCAACATGTACATGAGTGGGGATACAGTAGTATACAGCAGGATTCCGGTAAAGCTTTCATGTGGTCCCCAAGATACTGTCCAGCAGAATCAAGGGAATGCCGTTCGTCACATAGTTCAGCGCCTCGAACTTCAGCACGTTCACGTCGCCACCAGTCCACAACGCCAGCACTGGCAGCGAGCTGCGCAGTGAAGAGAGGAAGATATTTTCAAACTGAACCTCAGTGGCTGCTGCATGAGGAGCTTCATAACTCTTAAGTTGCCATATATGCCAAGGGAACCCTATGATTTCCTTAAAAACTTCTCCATATTCTGGTAACTTGGACCAGGCCCCCCCCTTAACAGCCCAGGAACTGCAGCCCGCGGATCATGGAGGGGAGGGTTCTGGTCATTCAAACACTCAAAGACGAAGTAGGCGGCTGCGCCTTCCACCAGCTTGTGGCGCGGCCACAGCACTGGATCAACGCCGTAGTGATGAGACAGGGCAGGGATGAAGTTGGCATGGTTCCATGCGTCGTTGCTTTGCTGGAGCTTCCTCTCCAGGCTGTCCGGCTTGAGAATAGTATTCATGTGCAGGTTTCGCGCGTGCTCGAAAATGACCATTTGAAATGGGCAAGATGCCCCCAAACTGTTTTGAATGGGCTCGCTGACTTCGGCGAAAGCATTTGTGAGGCTACATGAGCTTCTCCCAACAATTAAGGCTTTCGTCTGCAGCGCCACAGGAAGGAGAACCTCTCGTGCAATGACATTCCTCGGCACACAATCCACTTCCGCACTTCTTCAATGCGAAGTCTACTTGCCGATCCTGAGGTCGTACTTTCCTAAAAACCCCGAGATGCGAGCTGCCGAAAAAAACGCTGTCCCCCAAAATCGCCCTCCGAATTTTTTCTTGCGCGATGTGGGGATGACAGTTTAGTACAGGCGGCTGGATGCTAAAGAGAGAAAGGACACAAACCCCTGTGCCTAAATTCTAACCCCCCAGAAACCCTTCAAATGCCCGAAACCTTAAACGCCTTCAACCCCCAGCAAGCACAGAGGATCAGCTGCTTCTCCACCACCTCTTCCCGCCCAGGCAGCTCGGGGACCGTCTTCGACGGCAAGAAGTCCTTCAACTTAGGCCTCCCCTTCCTCGGTTTGATTGCAAGGTTCCGGGTTTAGGGTTCAGGGGGGTAGGGGTTTCGGGGTTTCGGGTTTAGGGCAGAGTTTCCGGCTTCCGGATGTAGTAAGGAAGCCATCTGGCTTACTACCCATCTATGTATCCATATTCTGGTACCTGAACATGCCTTGAAAGCAACCTTGCTTCAGCCCGCTGGGTTGAGGAGATGCCAAGCTTGTGGAGCTGGAGAGCAGAAACCCATGCTCTAAACTCCAAACCCTTGTGCAACTGGCTGGCAACGACTCCGAACTCTCAACCCCTGAAGCCTTCAAAGCGCAAGCTAAGAACCCTTCACCAAGCTTCCAGTAGCTCCGGCCTAGAAGTGATGGAATCAGCAAGATCACCAGCCTGAGCCGCCCAGTTTTCTTCCGAACTCGAGCCAAGCTGGTTCCTAGTGATGCCCCCAGAGGCTGGTGCACGGGAAACACAGACTGGCTCTTCTTTCTTTCTCTTCCTTCCTTCTTGCAAGCATATCCCCCTAAGGGGTGCTTCCACCGAATCACGTTCCGGTTCGAAGTTGGTTGATTGTTCTCTCTTCTCTCTTCGAAAAAATATATATATATATACGTCTGATTATATATAATATGTACATAGACAGATCGTAGAGTATAGTATCCATATATGCATGTGCCAGTATACCATGTGTTGATGCTGTGTGTCTGCCATTGTCTGCCCTTATGCCCGTATGCCCTTGATCAACTTAACACTCCTCGGAGCGGCTTAGGCTCCTGGAGGCCCAGCGCTTCACGCACCTGTGGCATGCGCTCGGCAGAGAAATGCAAGGCTTGCCTGGGCTCCAGGGAAAAAGGGTTTTGGGTGCAGCTTTACTCTAAAATACGCTACATAAGACCCTACAAAATTTCAAAACCATTGAAAAAACCTCGAACCAAAAAAGCACCCTTGCCCTAGACCCTTTGATTGACCGGCTGGGTGGCTGATTGGTGAAGTAAATCATGCGGCTCACGTGCATTAGCTCACCCAGGTTGTACTCCACTGTGGAGACCATGTGCTGCAAGCCTTTCACGCAAGCAGAAGGAAGCGAGGACTGCGTGATGCCGTGTGACTGCGAAAGGTCGAGATGGGTCGAGGAAGCAGGCTTCCCCTCGCTACGCCTTGTCGCGTGTAATGCCAACGTGGCCTTATGTGGCCTTGAATGCCGTGAGATGGTGTGAGGTCTCAGGGTGTTGGAGAGCAGCCAGCGCACTGAGCTCCAAACCCCCTCCCACCCCCCAAAACCGAAAACGACATCCCAAATTAGGACCAAGAGCTCTCGACTTTCAGCTTGGCAAGCTGCTCCTCCAGGCGCGTGCGGTCGCGATCCTCCGGAGTTTCCTGGGCCGTGTTTCGACGGGTTGGGGTGCAGCTGTTTCTGCAGGGGGGTACGTTACATCTCCTGAACCCTTCGCATTGAACTTAAGGGGCTTATGATGCATTTACCTTCACAGGGATTCAATGCGGGGTACGCGGTTCCAATTTTCAGGTTCGTTTGGTCCTCAAGGTAGCCACGTATTCAAGAAGTAAACCCTAGAAACCCTAAACCCCAGGGGTTAGGGGTTGTTTCGGTGTAAACCCTAAGCCCTAAGGCCCTAAGCCCTAAACCTTATAGGGTCAGGGATTCTGTCCCAGTTTCAAAGTCCTCCGGATGCCTCGCCGTGCGCGATGTCCGCTCGGAGGCTCGTTGCTGCACTTCCAAAAATGCGCCCACCTCCCGGTGCACCTGGAAGTGGTCTTAGCTGTCCAGTACCTAGGGGTTTTAAAGGTTAACCTTTGGGATTATAAGGGGAATATATTAACCCAAAAAGGTTAAAGGTTACCTACTCTACTACTAAGGGTTTAGGGTTTTAACTGGGACAAGCCAGGCGAGGCAGACGCTGTCTCAGCGATTCCCAGCGACTCTCTGTGAACCCAAATTTGGGCCCCAGTGATACTCTTTAGGGTCTAGGGCTTGTTGAGCCTGAGGCCTCCTGAGGCATCGGCTTTGAAACTCTGTGATGCTGAAGCGCAATTAAGGTGCATCTGCTTGGAAACGTACTGCCGTGCTCATCTGCCTTCCCAGGAATGCCTCTGCATCTGCCCTGCCGGCTGATACCTCCGATCTGTCCTGGGCTATCCCGTATCTCAGGAAAAACGAAGCCCTCGTTCGGGGGGTTCATAAGGGACCTCATGTTCAGCTTATCTCGCTGAGCAGGTGCATCCGTCCTGCCGAAACATTGTTTCATGAGTAATGAGCGGTTTGGACAATGATGAAGGGGTGCGAACAAACTGACAATTAGTTCTGGAAACATCCTACGCCTCAAAATCTCATGAGAAAGAAGAGAAAAACTCCTCACAAGCAGTCCTCACACTGCTTGAGAATCCTACTCCCAATGTGATCCCTCCCCCCCAAACAAAAGGAACCCCGAAACTATTGGGCTTACCCGAACAACTCCGACCCAGGGTCTGCGGTTTGCCTCCTTCATAGTTTACCCTCCCCCCCCCCCCCTTAAAAAAAGGAACAGAAGTAAAGAAGGAAAAAGAAAACTGTCGTTCAGGCCCTTGGGCCAGAACAAACTGTAGGGGGGGGGCTTGATATTACAACCCAGACATTGACATGAACCCTAAACCCTAAACCCCACAAATTCAAACCGTCTTCAGGATCTCGATTAACTTCCTGGCCAACCCAGGGATGGGAGAAGATTCCTGGCAGAGCTTCCCAGGAATCCTCAATCAGATTATTCTGCGAAATCCAAAGGCCGGTTAAACTCCACCCCCTCCCCCCCCCCCCTCCCCCAAAGGATTTTAGTCGAAATTCTCGAGCAGAGGATGTCTACTAAGGGCTCGGATATTGGGTACAGGCTCGTGTTCAGCTGTTTTCTGAAAGTTTGAAGGTCCATTATAAGGGCTTGTAGGTTGGAGTTCGCTCTTGGGGTGGATTTTGAGTCAAGATAAACGCTGTGGACTGGGGTCTGGGAAAGAAGCAAAAGCAAGTACTGGTCAGGTGCCAGGCTCCGATCGTTGCGTCGAGAATTGTGCCTCAGCCGCGGCCGCAACTGCGGGCGCGATGACAGTTTGCCGCTGTTCCCAGAGCTGGTGAAGCTCCTTCGTGGAGCCTAAGGATGGATTCGGAGGCTTTCTGGCCGCTTCTGGTGGCAGAGGGCGAAGATTCGAAGATTCAGGGATCAAGCTGGTTGTCTTGTGGGCTCAGGATACTTCAGGGCGCTGCTGAAAAAGATGTTAAGGTTTAAGGTTCTGGGTTTAGGGTTTAGGGTTTGGGGTTGAGAGTTAAGGGTTTAGGGTTCCGAAGAACGCCCAGGGGGCGCAGCGACTTCTCCGGCGGCGCGTCCGAGGGCTCCGCGGGCTCGGAGGTGACCGGCATGCCTTGATGGGGGGGGGGGCCTAATCCACACTCACAATTGGGATCATATCATCATATACCCCCGGTGCAACTTCACAGCCGTTTTTTCAGGCTCACGAACCTTAGTTAACCCTAAAATTGGGCATGCAGATTTCTATATATATATATATATACACATGTTTATACCGTTTAAAGTCGATGGCCGAATGGGGTCCTAAAGCGCCATTTCGTCCCCCAGGTGCTTCCCGGGAGGAGCGCCACGTGAGGTCGCACGGACTCAGCGGCCGACACCAGCGCCGCGGTGGCTCCCAGGACCAGGTCCTCAGCCATGGCTGCCATGGTGCAGCGGCCGCTTCTCAAGGAGGCTCGGAGAATCGTCTGCCTTGGATCGCCTTTCTTTGGGCACCTTGGGGAGGGGGGGGGGAGTTTAGGGCTCTAGGGTTTGGGGTTTGGGGGGGGGGGATATTCCAGCTTCATGCATGCTGTGTGCTGTGGGGGCGGGGTCTTTGGATGTCTTGGGGGGGAGATAACGTTAAAACCTCTTGAGCAAGCGTTGCACAGAGGTGATCTTGTGCTCAGATCCCAGCCCAAGATTCTCACGTCCTGTTTCTGCTGAACTCTCTTAAATGATACCTGCACAAATCGATATGGGACTGAGTGCACGCCCGCCACCACTTGATTTTTCGTCTGCCGGTATTTGGCCCTCAACTTGCTTGGCTGCGCTCAGCGACCTCGCAAATCACAGGCCTAAGGTTGTGTTCTCAAGGCCCCTTCTGAAAGCTCATGTGCTTCCTGTGATGCAAGAGAGACTTTGCTATAATGATACTGGGGCTGTTCTGATTCATGGGCCTTTCCTGGTAGCTTATCTCTGTAAAGCATATGCTGCCTCGCTTCAAAAGCCCTGTAGACCCTAACCCCTAAGGATCCCTACTGGCCTTGCCTGTGTCGGCACTCCTGGCAGCAACCCAGGAGTCGTTCTGCACACGCCCGGCCTCGTTCAGAGTCAAGGCCATGCCACTGTCAGAGAACATGTTGTGAACACCGTACTGTACCGTCTAGCCCGTATGGCTTATGAATTCAGTATGCTGAATGCACATGCATTCGCTCTTGAAGCCGCGGCCGTGCAAAATAGTTAACAGCATCACCCCCTTTATGACCCTTATCAGACTTCTCAGAAATACTTATGTAACCTTAGATCCTGAACCCCAACAAACTGACAATCCCCTCTCTACTATCCTCGTGAGGACCGCCCTCAAAAAGCGGGCAGGCTCCGGCCACCAACTTTCCTAGCCGTCAAGGCTGGTCCTCATGTCAGCTACCAAAATAGGACCATTGTTCTTTACATGGTAGCTCCATTTAGTTTAAGGTTGGTTCTTGCTGGATACAAAGTTGTCAGGCGGCAACTGCACGTGAACTGGGAAACAGAACCGGGCAAAACGGTACTTTCTGGTGTCCTTCTGCCCCGGGGCGGTAAGGCCGGGGGTCGGAGAATTCCCGTGCAAAGGCCTTCAATTCTTGCCTTCTTCCAAATTTGGTGGTTCTTCCTAAGGCCTTAGGCTTAGTAGGCTCGGGCGACTAGGTAGGTAGGGCATTGAGCTTGAAAGCTAGGTCAAGAACTTTGTTGGGTTTACACTCTTAGGGCATTAGGTCCACAAGGGATCCTCACCCAAAAACATGGAATGAGGGTAGCTAGTCAGCATTCTCCACTCCCACAACTTGGGGAAAGGCCGCAGCTTGCTGGAATCACCCTAAGCCCTAAACCCTTACACCCCTTTGCCCAAAACCCTTTACTTGTCCTGGTCGAAGGCTCTTGGGCGTCCGACAGGCGACTACCCGCCTGTTGCAGTCGAGGTTGGCGCAGTTCCAGAACTCCTTTGCAAACGGCTACTAGGCCACAGAACTGACCAGGCTGCAGCTGGGTGTTGGGCTTAGGGATGAGGGTTACAGTTACAATGTTGGTTTCTCCCGTGCGTAGGGAACCAATGTGGCCCAAACTTAGGTCAACTCCCACATGTGTGCTGAGCCCAGAGATGCTTTGCTTGCAGCAGGTTTTCTCACCACTGCCTGCATCGTGCAGGAAGCCCCGAAACATGAAGCCCAGACTACGCGTAAGATCCCCTAGAAGCCCATGAGACTGGGAGTCTCCTAGAAGTCGAAAGAAGCCAAGGTTTAAGGTTCATTCAGGGCCCAACCAGCCCATCAGGATTTTTTTGGGGCCTCGGCTCCCCCACCTCCACCACTCCCCCACCGCAGATGGGGCAGGCCAGCTGGCTGGCGGAGCCTGCAAGTGCTCACCCGATGTGGTCTTCCCTAACCCTAAACCCTAAACCCTAAACCCTAAACCGGTTCCTTCGGGGTCTTGTGGGCTTGAGGGCACAGCTGAGCTTGAGTGCGGTTTAGGGTTTGGGAGTAGGGCCGGGGTAAGGTTTACAAGCCTGTTTACTGCCACCCATCGAGCCAGCACTCCTCCGGTTTGGCGATTGGCTTCTAGGATGTAGGGTTTGGGTAGGAAATGAGCTCACTCAGTTCAGGGTATCCTTTGAAGCGCCGTCTCAATCGATACTATGACCTGTGTGTTGTTGCGAACTGGGCAACGCTGTTTGCAAGTCAGGTGTGGCCGCCCGTGAGGAATCTATCATTTGCACAAATTGCGAATGGAATCCGAGTGTACAGCTCCCTCCATCCAACCTCCCGAGACATCTGGTGAAGCAGGTTTCTTTGTCATGCTGGTTTCAATCGAGGCCAACCAAACTACTAAACACCCAATAACCCAACATCCTTGCCTTAAAGCCCTTCAGAGAAAAAGCCCTCAAAACTCTACACCGGGCACCTTCCAGCCCAACCGCCACAGAGTTCCGGCGGTCAAAGACGAAGAGGCGGCCCTTCGATTTCGGATCTCGGGGGGGGGGGGGGGGGGGGCACCGTCTCTTGACATGTATCAACGCTCGCACAGGGAATGGAGGGGCTGACTTGGGCACTTTGAGAGATGCGACTGCTCAGAAGGTGCACAAGGGGTGTCTCCGCATATGAGTCGGGTGTAGATGCTGCTTTTGGTGAGTCTGTGTATATTGGGTGTCCTTTTTTTCATGTTGTGAAGATGAAAGCCCGAAATATTTCACACAACGTGGGCATTTTTGGGTTGCGGGCCCCCTGGTAGGGAAATTGCAGTGGCAGCAGCAAAACGCCAGTGTGGGCCTTCCAGCCCTCATCACCCACAGTGTTTCCATAGTGCTGCACTCCGCCCTTCAGCTTGTACACCTCACGAGGTCGAGCGAAGGAAAGAGCTGCTAAAGGCGCTTGTTCAGCAGTCAATGCAGCCTGTTGTTTCTTTTGGGCAGGCTCAGCTTCTGGGTAATTCCTAAAATTAGGTCCCCCTCGAATCTACCACACCCCCTCCCCCCCCCCCTCCCCTCTGATTTTGACTTCGAAAACCACCTCACAGATCCTCAGCCCTCGTCAACCCAGGCCACCATGGGTGCAGTTCTGTGCGCTGGGCTGCCGAGCCTGACGAAAACCTCAGGCAGGGGTCCGCTCACTTCCGCATGACAGAGTCCACCGGCTCGTAGACATGAGCCACAGCTCGGTGGCCGACCTTTCTTTCGCAAGGCGGCGCCAAAGAACTCGCAGCGTATCCCACCAGTGCCTGACATGCACTGAGGGGAGATCCAGAAACCTGGTGCAGTGCACAAATCGCACTCCTTGACAGCACCCTGTAAACTGTAGATCAAAACCTGGGATGCCAAGTCTAGCCGAGGCCGGCGCAATACATGTACAGCGGAGTGTCCTGTCGGAAACCCATGTGACAAAAGCCATGAGCTCGACTTCAGCAGAAGCTGTTCCTTCCATGAACCCATGCCCAGGTCTCGCAGGATATGGTGGTTCACATGGGGGGGTCTGAAGAGTATCTTCCTGTAGCTTCTTCCTGGAGTGTGTCCTTGTCCTCAGAGGTCAAACCCAATGAGGAGGGACTCATCTCCTCAGGAGTGGCACTGTTTTTGGGTTTAGGGTTTAGGGTTTAGGGTTTAGGGTTTAGGGTTTAGGTCATTGCAGGGGCCCCGGACCTCAACAGTACACCGGTGCTCCCTGAAAGAAAACTCGACCATGCCATTCGAACCTCGGGCGGTTGCCCTGACCCTGCGTCCTTTACACCTTTGAAGCCGTATACGCTTTGCTTAGGCTTGGTTGCGCGCCTTGCCGTGTGCCTTGCAACCCCAGGCATTAACTTGGCACAGCACAGCAACCCGAGTAGGACAAGCAGGATGATGCCGCAGACCCTTTTGAATCGAGGTTGAGACAAAGGCTCTGGTAGCGATACAGCAAATACCTACAACTGACCCAAGCGAACATGGAATCCAGAGTGCCGACCTAAATCCTGTTTGGATTCCATCTTCGTGGGCGTGCTGCTTGTGAAAGCTCCGGCCGGTTAGGCAGCTGCATGGCGGTCCACAAGGCCACACAAGCACGTCACTCCGCAGCATCTAAGGGACACCACTTTCCCTGCCATGCAGCCGGCGCGTGGCTGGTCCGCGGCTGCAGGGATTCCATGTCGGTTGCGCAAGAATCCCAGAAGCAAGAGTTGCCAACAGGCCGCAGTGATCCTTTAGCCCTCAACTATTCTTGAACCCCAAACCCAACCCTTCTGACCCTAGATTTTGAAAAGGCCCTTGCTAACATGGAATCCGCGAAGCAACAGGGCCACTGAACGAGCCTGGCCATCTTCGATGGAGCGAAAGCCAAACGCGCGCTTCAGTTCTCGAGGGGTTTTGTGGGAACCTGAAAAGGTGTCGCCCTAAACCCTAAACCCACCCTACACATCCTAAGGCCCCAGTTCGGCTTAGAAGGGGGGGGCCTACAGTATGTTCTCGAACCCTACCATCTTTGAAGGCCTGGAGCCGCTCATATGCCTGTAAGGCTCATCGTAGTTCGCTTCTGTTGCGTGTGCGGTTTTGGGTTTGAGGTTTGGGGTTTTGGGGTTTGGGCGTTTTTTTTTGCCAGCCGCACTGGGGTTTGGGGTTTGGGGCTTGGGGTTTAGGGTTTAGGGTCTACTCGCCGCTGTCTCTGAGTCTGAGCAACTGAGCGCGACTGCCCTGTGAACCAGCACATCATCGGGACCACCCGGGTTTGGGGTTTGGGGTTTGGGGACTACGGTTTGGGGAGTTCAGGGTTTGTAGTTTGGGAAATCACCTGCTTGAAAGACAAGCTGGTGGAAGTGGCTGAAAAGTAACCACAATTTGCTCACACCGTAGTCTTGGGGATATAGGCCATTCATGAAGCGATTCGGCTGAGAGCTCCTGACCGTTGCCTGCAGTCATACGATCAAAACTGGCGATGGCGGTGATGGCCGGAACGGTGTAAAGTTCATCCTTGGACCTTCTAGTAGCCATCCCCTCAGGCTCCAAAGGGAGTTGCCGAATATAACAGAATGCCCACGGAAAGAATTGGCCAACATAGCTTAGCATGACCATTGGCAACAAACCTCTGAGCCCTGAAGGCTTTGTGAAAGAGAGCTTGCTGCAACTTTGGGCACGTTCCTATCAAGTACCACATAAACATGCTTTTATGCTTAACCGCGGTCCTATGTGCCACGTCTGCATCTCTGCTCTTTCACAGTCTCCCTTGCGGCTTACGCATGCTTTGCTCGGATCTGGGGAAAGCCACCGCTCACATGAACAAGGTCCCTGCAAGGCTGATCAATGATCGCCGGGATCCTTCCCCCAATCCATCCTTGCCTTATACGTAGCAAGGCGAAAGCCCGTGGCTCTAGGGTTTGCAGACATTCTGGGCCCATGTTTAGGGGCCTGTTGCATTTATAAAGACAATGAAACCAATGAAACCATTTGATAACATTGCTGATTGTCTTGCTTCTTACTCTGTGATTCATGTGGTCTAACAGTCTAACAAAGACATGAGAACGGAACGTCTGCGCACCCTGCGGATCACTGCCTCTTGCCAGAGAATCTGCACCGAACCATGAATCAGCCCAAATGACATGCTTGCGTGATGTGTCTGGTACTGCAACAGCAACATACAGCAACATCGACTCAATAAACGTTGTCCCACAATCGAACAGCGCCGCCTCTCTTCCCACTGCGGTGATGCAACTTGGCCCACACATACCGGCCGTACTAGCACAATCTAGGAGCTTCTCTCATAGAATGACATTAAACGCATACACTATACTATACTACATAAAACTGCAATACAATATAGCATCATAAAACACATCATATGAAACAAAGAACGAATGTAACACCATACTAGAACATGCCTCAAAGCCTCGGCCCTTCGGTTTTCGTCTGTGTAGTTCATTGCTCATTCGATCGTGTCCTGATACCACTGAGAATTCATTCAGAGGCAGCACCTATGCCCAATGCCACGCGGCTCAGCTGATACCACAGCATTCCCAAATCTAGCTGTGCTCAGAGTCCTCAGAGGTAGAGCCAGGTGCGCCAAAGAAACAAATTGTTGGTGCTGGTCAGCAGCTCTCATGATCCTGAAGCGCATCCAGAGCTCTGCTGAACCACGCTGGCAAGCTCAAACTCGGGCGCACGTCAGCGTCGCCTGAGCTGCCGAGAAGCAGTGGATAGCAGCTGCACTGAACAAAGGCGCAAGTGTATGGAGGGCAAAGAGCACACGTTGTCATCCTTTTCCACCTGCTACTGCTGCTACTCAACTCGCTCTACTCGAGTTGTCTTCTTGGTGCGAAGCCACACAAAACTACAGATTCCTTGGCGTTGACAGGTACTCATTATCTTCCAGGCGAGGCGTGTGGACGAAGACTGTCGTTCTGATTTCAAAAGCGTGCGGTTGTAGTTTTGAGGAACCCAAATGGTCCTCACCACCTGAAGCCCTAAAGACCCTCGCTTGCCACTTCAACACCCCCCTCCCCCCCAGGAGTGCCAGGTGCTGGTTGAGGCGCAACCTCCGAAGGCGGGGCCGTGGCACCAAGAGCACGTCGGAAGTGGAGCAACTCCGCACGTTTCTGGGCATGGCCTGAAAAGGCACTTTAGGGTCGGGAGGTTTCCCAAGCCAATAAAGGTGCTTCTGCAGATCCTTTTGCTTGTCCCCCCCGAAAGGGGGGCTAGCTATGAACCTTCTCTTGTTCCAGGGCTAGTAGGGCTTTCTTTGTTTCGCTCCCGCATAGCTGGGCGAGGCGCGCTGCAGGGTCTTGACACGTTTGGGGCAAGCTGCCGACTTCGGCATCACAGCAATTCAGGCACCGTGTTTCCAATGTCTGCAGATGTGGGATATGAATGTCGGCAAACAACCATGGCACACACAAAATTGCAAAACCAATCAATGATGGGCTACCTTGTGGCCTCAGGCACTGGCAGGCGACACGCAAAACCTAACTTAACCGAGACACCCCCAAACAGGGCTGGCCTAAGTCCTGCACCCTCAACTACGACCTGCGGCCTCATCCTTGCCATCTGCCCGTTGGTACTTTAGTGTTGAACAGCTCAAGTTGCTTTGGGGACCTGGGGACCCCAAACAACTTCATCGGTTCGAGTCTGCCCTTCGTCCTCTTCCTCTCCAGGCCCTACTCACCCTCTTCCCATAAAGCCGCTTAACACCTTAAGGCCCCGAAGCAGATCCTTTCGACCGAAAACATGCCCTCCTCAGAATTTGCCCAGAGCCATGCTCAACTCCCCAAACCCTTCCTGAATCGATGCCTATAGGGCCTGTTGGGCTTCCAGGATTAGGGCCCCAAGGCTTGCGATGGCCTTTGTCAGGGCATTCGGATGCTTTCGGATTTCGGGGTGCCTGGCTCCAAGGACAACTTGGGCATGTTCTGCTTGGCCAGGGCTCCCCAAGCCCCGCAAAGCCTCGGGAGCTCGCAGAGATTTAGGGTTCCACTTGGATTAGGGTTTTAAGGGCTTTAGGGTTTTAAGGGCTTTGGGGTTTAGGGTGCCCCGGTTTCCAGAGTCTCTTTCACCTTTGCCCCGCTACAACCGGAAGGCGCCCCAAACACTCACATGAGGCGGGGATGCTTGAAGCTGCTCGCATGCCCCAAAAAGACCCCACGTGTAGACACCCACCAATAGTTTTCCCCGTAGACCCCCAAACCTCCCACAACCCCAACACTGCGCTACACCCCTTGCAGGCGCAAGTGGCTTTAAAATGCTGGATCGCGGGCTCTCCGATCCTGAAATAGCCACCGGCCCTGCCGGTGGCCCGATTTTCGGCGCAACCTGCCAAGTTTCAGGAGGGGAGCTCTGTGAAAGAAAGGTTTCTGAGGTTTAGGGTCCAGGAAAGGTTGTGATTTTTGGTGTTTCTTGGGGCGCAGGGTTTCTGAGCAGCCCTTGTTCCCTGAAGGGTGGAGAAAGTCTGATCAAGGGGGCACCGTGACAATCCCTCGAGATTCTTGGCTGCATTCTTCCATCTGCCACAACCGCAGGATTGCGACAACGCACCCCGACAGAGCCTGAATGGTGGGGATGTCCACTCTCTGCTGCTGCTGCTGCTGCCATTGAAGTTGGTCCAGGGGCCTCAGTCTGACGTGCAATCTTCAGGGCTCTGCGCATGCTGCTTGCTGGTACGTGGTGAGCAGTTCTCACTAGCAAGCTACGATACGTTCAAGCGGGCGATGGCTTGTTGTGTCACTTTTTCGAGTTGTCACTCTGACTATTGCTGATCTCTCGGCTTACTTCATACAATGGACCCTCAAAGAGACACACATCCCGACATTCCCACAGCCCTCCTGTTTCACAGCCTCCCCCAAAGCCCAGTAGGACCGGGCCAAGCAGGTCAACCCACCAAAACCAAGCAAAAAACCCTAAACCCTAAACCCTAAACCCTAAACCCTAAACCCTAAACCCTAAACCCTATCGTGCCAGCTCCCCCACCTTGGGGACCACAGTTGTTGGACTTGGGTATTGGGAGCGCACAAACACATTTAAGACATTTAGGGTTCACTCGGTCCCCTTCGGCAGATTAAGCCAAGCCATGCCTTCGCCCACTTAGTGCGCCGCACAT